AATACCAGGCATTTTTCAAAGATACTGACATGAAACACACTTTGTGAACAATATTAATAAGTAAGCGAATAAGCCCTTTTCCCTTTCTCAAGTTAGAAATATCTCTCTTGCGAAGCATGTATTTGAGCTTAGCATGCGCAGTGTTTCCTTTGCTCGGAAATTTAGGATGTATAATGTGTCCTCTCGTTTCATTTCCCAAATAATATAACAAATGGAAAATCACTTATCTGCACATGCGTGTCGCTCATGTCAAGCTGATTAACACACTGTGTAAATATTTACCAGTCCCCTGTGACATGACAAGACATGAGCAGTACTCACACAGTGATGGCCTATACATTAAAGTTGTGTTAAAAAATGAAAGCAAGCACATATTGATTCTTTTGTAACGTTTCTGAAAGAGAAAGATCAATGTTACCCTTTGCGGTAACAATTGAAAGTATTTGTGAAGATATATTTTGGGAAGTGAACTCGATAGAAATCGACAAGAGAGTGAATTTCCAGGTTTCAGGCAATTTACCTATATCCGACATTGATGTTACATATTTTTCGTTACAATGAGTGAGCATTGCAAGTCTTGCTGAGGTTTAAGGTGAGGTGAGGTGAAATGGGGTTTAACATCGCGTCCAAGATTATTGCACTTATAGAAGATAGAAGAATCCCTACAGGCTGATCAAGATATCAACTCGGCATACGAGAAACTGACTGAATCAATGATTCATACAGCACGAAATGAATATCAAGTTAAAGAGAATTAGAAGTGAACAGGGTGACAGCAACAATAAACTCTTCTGTGGAAGAAGGTGAAGTGAAATGGGGTTTAAAGTCGCGTCCAAAATTATTGCACTTATATAGCGACGTGCATGTACGTGTGTGTGTTTGTGTGGCTGCTTGTACTAGTCCGGACTGATGCCGATTTATAGTGCTAGCTCACTGAGATACCATGCCGCTGTTTAACATGAATACCCCACTCAGACACAGTATACTGACTCCGAGCCGACCAGTCCTTGTTTTAGCCCCTTAATGCCGAGCGCCAGACACGGTAACAACAAGTACAATCTTTTAACGTCTTTTGGTATGACGCAGCCGGGGATCGAGCCCCGAACCTTCCGCTCTCCGGGCGGACGCTCTACCACTAGGCCACGGAGGCGGTCGCTGAGGTTTAAAGCTTGATAGTGGATAAATATGGAACGACAGGGAATGGTGCTGCAGGTTATGCGGGTACTGTGTTTTGGACCTTAGGCTTGCATCGTTTCGACGACTGTTGTCAGCCTTGTTTAATGTTTTGATGACGTTTGTAATTTTTTGCCTCAAGCCAAGTTTTATGTGTTTACTTTCTTTCCCCGGCACTTTATTCCCGAGATTGTTTTATTTCCAAGTCTTTTTCATTTCGGGTCACAGTGTATGTTCTTGGATGATAATCAAGTTTTGGCTAACATTGTGTAAATATGAAATTTACCGATGTTTTTCGTTTCGTTTCAATCAAAAAAATTAAACTAAGTTGTGAACTTGTTGGCCATAGACGGTACTCATTGACACATAAGCCCGTTTAGCTCACAGATCGATTTCTGTGTATTGTCGGAATTTGATTGGTTACAGCGACATGTTCAATTCAAGATTGTGTATGAATAAAAAAAAACTGACTTCACTTTGGTAATGATTATTTATTATTGGCGGATGTGGGGTAATGATTATTCGTATGTTGTGGGAACATGTTGTGTGAAACATTTGCCCAAAATAAACATGTTTATTATAAACAGTATAGTTCAGATACATAAAATTGTTGCAGATAAACTCCCAATCTCATAAACATGTGGGGGAGTGTACCCACACGTTAAGTATGTTTAAAGTTTTCATATCCACACCCTTTACATTAAACTCACTATAGATATTGTTAAATCAAAACCTGGTAGCAATTCAATGTAGTGCAGGCGCCGCGATTCGCTGTGCAGAGTTGCGTCCCTTGGGCACGCCAGAAACCTATGATTGTGGGTTGGAATCCCGGTTCGCCCCGATTATGTTTCTAGGTTTGTCAGCACCATACCCGTGCTCGTGGGTTTCACCGAAGTGGTAAACGTCTGAGACCTGCATCACTTCGGTCTTTCCCCCCACATTAAGCTGACACGTCGTGCTATAACTGGAATACTGTTAAAAGCGGCGTAAACTCACTCACTCACTCAATGTAGTGCGTCGGTGAAGTCTAGGTTAACAAATACTCAGCACACATGTCCAACTTCAATGGTCTGTGGTAAAGTGATCTCCTCGCCGTATGTTACTAATTGATCATTACGTCACTGATGTGGTCCCTGCACACTAACGAGTCAATGCTGACAATATAAAGCAGTTGTATTATCGAAACATTGAAATATATGCTATTTACCTATGACCGAATATTTCGGAGCGTATGAAATAAAGGATAAATCTAAACCTTGTCAGACACGATTTCAAGGGTAATGAAATATGTGTCACATATGAACAGCATTCACGATTATTTCACACATTAGACAATACATGAAAACGATGGCTATATTTACACACCTCTTTCTTATATGTTCATATTGACTCGAATGCTCTTTCATGACGTAGTTGATGTAAATTTGACAGCCAAATGATACGTTCATTTTAACGCTGGTGTTGGGGGCCTCAGATGACACGTAAATTTCCTAACAGGCATTAATTTGAGAAACCCAGTCCCTTCGTGTGATGTCAGTTTTCTTTGGTCAATCAATCAAAGAAGAACCACCCACGGTGGTACTAGCAGCATATTATACATATCACTGATGTATTACATAAAACGCAATAGAAGATAATATTGCCGGTAAACACGCAGAACTGTCTCGTGTTTACAGTAATAAATATCAATTGTTACATTTATACATGTTTGCAGTAGCTTTTTTTCTGTGAAGATTTTTTTGTTTTGTTTGTTTGTTTAACGCCGCACTCAGCAATATTCACGCTATATGACGGCGGTCTGTAAAATAATCGAGTCTGGACCAGACAATCCAGTGCTTGACATCATGAGCATCGATCTAAGCAATTGGGATCGATGACATGTATCAACCAAGTCAGCGAGCCGGACCACCCGATCCCGTTAGTCGCCTTTTACGACAAGCATAGTCACCTTTTACGGCAAGTATGGGTTGCTGAAGACCTATTCTACCCCGAAATCTTCACGGGTCGTAAAGATAAGAAAAGTTAGATACACGTCGTACCCATGGGATGCCCACTCTCTCCTATCCTAACTGAAATCGACATGACCTTCTTTGAACAGCAAGCCCCTATTACATCACCCATCAAACCAATTTGCTGGTACAGGAAAATCGACGACACCTTTGTCATTCAAAAACAAGACAAAGACCCGACCCTGCTACTACAACATCTAAACCAACAACACCCCCGAGTACAGTTAACCATCGAAATAGAAAAGAAAACTGCCCTTCTCAGATGTCCTTGTTACCAGGACCCCAACCAACAGAAACCAAACCAGTGTCTACCGGAAACCCACCCACACCGATCAATACATCCACTTCAACTCAAACCATTACCTTAGACCTAAGACTGGCATCATCTCTACCTTCATGGCGGTCGTGTAGCCTATTAGTTAAAGAGTTTGCTCGTCACACCAAAGACCCGGGTTCGATTCTGACATGGGTAAAATGTGTGAAGCCCATTTCTGGTGTCGCCCTCCGTGATATTGCTGGAATATTGCTAAAGCGGCGTAAAACTATACTCACTCACTCACTCATGACGAGCCATCAATCTATGTTCTGCTGACCCCGAACCCGAGATCGAAGACCTCCGTGGTCTTCACCCACCTTAACAATTTCCCCCATGATCTTGTCGACAAAGTCATCTCCTCTGTACTTCATCCCACACCCCCATCTGCGACCCCTGATCCTGAATCCGCGCCCTTCCACATCGCCCTCCCATTCATAGGAAAAGCCTCCCACATCATCAACCGCCTCCTCAAATAGCAATCCAATATTGACACCGATTTCACCAGTTACACCTCCCTCAATACCCGACTAAGACCCAATGGCAGAAACACAATCAAGCGCCAAGAACCTAAAGGTGTAGTTTATAAAATAGACTACGAAGGTGAAACATCCCGCCCCTTCAACACCAGAATCAAAGAACACAAATCTTCAACCATCAAATCAGCCATCTCGTACCACATCAGCAACTGACCCAGTCACAACATCAACTGGGAAAACGTCCAAATCCTCTTCCACAACCTCCATGACTTCACCAAAGGACAACTAACAGAAGCAGTCTACATTTGCCAACACAAGCCATCAATCAACAGAGATCAGGGCTATTTGACCCCCTCTGCCTACTATGAACTAATTAAGCAACAATCACCACACCTATATCAACTTTTCCTGTTTCATAAGCTTCCTGTCTTATTGACTTCCACATCATGGGTTCTCTGGCCATCACGTTGTTGCAGTATTAGCCTTCTGTTGTCATTCCTTAACCTACTCGTGTTATCCCACGCATGTATGCAATTGTTGTTACTGGTAATCCACTACTGGTAATCCACCACCTGCTTTATATATTCTGTACAATGGTAAGCAGAGGCACTGTATATTAAGTTGGTCTCGTCGCTATAAGGCTGAAATAATGTTGAGGCAACGTTAAATTTTAACTCACTCACTAATCATTCACTCTTGCTTGACAAGGGTATAAGGGTCGAAACGTCGCCTTAACAGTAATGACAGAAGTCGTTATCCATACATTGTGGCTACTTTGTCATCCATCCACTTCTAAGTAATGCGTATCAAGGAATGCGTCACACAATTCATTAAGTCAACTTTCACAACCAACATACAATAATTCTAACCCTACTTCCAACGGGGGCCACAATCAACTGATTCTCGAAAACAGTGAAGAGCTACTGTAAACTGACGTCTCTCTGGACGCAGATGCTAAATTCGTTTTGTTATTGTCAGATCCAATCTCTCAAATCACCAAAGATGTCTATAAGATCCAAGTCCTACCTTCCAAACACAGCGGCGCCTCAGTCACACGATGCACACTGCATCGCCTCCCTGACGGACACTTGTGATCTGCGCACGGACCCATCAGCTCCTTGGAATAAAAAAAATATTCTTAACAGTTATCTACATTCCCATTGTTAATTAGAAAGTAATTTTGGTAAATATACTGAACCAAATTAAAAACTTCACAATCCTAAAATTTTAACATTTTGACCAGTTATCATTGTGGGCCCTTATTGTGTATTTTAACAGTAATGGCCACGTATTGTCTTCAGATAACACCCGTTTTTGTGCAGGTGAATCGATCAAAATTATGCGCACAGCACTATAGTGGCAAAAGTGGGTTTTCACGTGCAACTGGTCATGTGGCCATAATACCGCACGTGTTTTCAGCCATACTTGTTAGCAGTCATTAACAAAAAAAGAAAAACACAAGAAGACAAAAGTCATGCCACGCCTTTCAAATGTGCAACCTGAACGTGCCATCGGCATATTACAGACAGGAACGTCCGTAGCTGAAGTCGAAAGGACGATGGGTTGTAGTCGACGGACTGTTTATAATTTACAGACGCGTCTACAGCAAACGGTTACCACTGCAGATCGCCCTCGGCCAGGTCGACCACGTGTGCCGTCAGATGCAGAGGATCGTCAGATTGTCTTACGTCACCTCCGTAACCGATTTTTGACGGCTACATCAACCAGAAATGAACTGTTTAGGGGTAGACTGAGTGCGGAAACTGTTCGAAACCGTCTGAGAACTGCTCACCTTCAAGCACGACGGCCATACTGCGGGCCGATTCTGACTCAATTACACAGACGTCAACGTCAATTGTGGGCACAGCGACACTAACGATGGACTCAGAGGAATTTGAATCAAGTCGTCTTCAGTGATGAATCCCGATTTAATCTTCGATTTGCTGATGGTAGGGCGAGGGTGTGGAGGCGCCGTCATGAACGTTACGCCCAGTGTTGTGTACAGGAAGTTGACAGATTTCGAGGCGGAAGTGTCATGGTGTGGGGTGCTTTCTGTGGCAATACACGTTCCAAGCTTCTTGTCATCCGTGGCAACCTCAACTCTGCTGCTTACCGCGACCAGGTACTGGCACCAGAACTTCTGCCTTTTATGGCAGCACATGGACCCGGTTTGATCTTCGAACACGACAATGCCAGACCCCACACAGCAATTTTGACAAGGAATTTCCTTCAGAATGCGGGAGTCAACGTCATGGACTGGCCGTCAAGGTCTCCCGACCTCAACCCCATCAAACACGTCTGGGATGCTCTTGGCAGAAGTCTACGCACTCTCCAGAACCAACCACAGAATTTGCAAGATCTTGGCACCATTTTGCAGCAACAATGGCGTCGTCTTTCCAATCATGTGTTCACAAGCATCACAAGGTCCATGCGGAGGCGTTGTGTGGCAGTTGTCAACGCACATGGTGGCCATACTGAATTTGTGTGCCATCAGATTCTAGTGCTTGGGACTTATGATTTGAACTGTTGATGTTATTACCGAATACCGTAGGTGCTTGGAACAAATTATGGTTACCACCGTTAATTAAAATCCTTCTTTTGACATTAATGATTAAAAATTACCTTCTCTGATACATTTATCCGTTGTATATCATATATGGGATTACTTTTAAAAATGTGAAGTTTTTAGTTTGACTCTTATTGTCAATGCAAAGAGAATAACCAGCCTATATTGTCTGCCGAAACAGATTCCACTTGGTGTAAAGGGTATGCTAATCAAAGCGGTATGTTCGTTTTGAATTACGTCTGATGTGAACAAGTACAGAGAGTTTGCTGGTTATCAGTAAAGAAAATAAGCTTATAAATAAAGAATGTTTTCAACTGTCCATCGCCTTCATGAGCAAGAGTGGATACAGCTTTTTGGGGAAAAGGCGCAGTGCACTTAAAATTTAAAAAAATGAAAGGAAATAAATTAGGAAACAATATGCATCGTTAGCTAAAAACAACAGTTATGTCACAGTTAGTGTTCTTGAATAATAAAAACCACAAAATACCTCTCCGTAAGCATAAGAAATTTCGGCGAGTCCGCTGTACGGTTTCGGCTACATGCTAAGCATGTGATGGTGATGGCGTGTATCCTGCCCCTAAACTGTCAGTATAATGATTTGGTAATGGGTTTGTCATACGGCAACATGACCAGCATGTTTTCAAAAGGGGGTACACACTCCTGCTGTCCCTCTGTGTCTCCGCGTATGCATACAAAACATAAGATATAACACATAGGTATACATACCTTCGGCCAGTGAGAAATATCACCATGTTTCCATCGTGGTTTCGCCACAAGGTCGGTTGGTGCTGTTGAACTGTCTTTCTTGTGAAGGTGGCAAATGTGAAGTACAGGTTCGAATCCGAATGAGAAACAATCAAGATGTGCTAAGCATTCAACGGCACACTCACGTGCAGAGGGCACTCTCCTCTTAATGATGCCAAATAAGTTGTTTTCCAAATAACTGTTATCTGCTATGATACCCGCTTCATTGAAGCAAAGTAGTTGAACTGGACAAATACAAGTTGCTATGAAATATAACATCATCGGCACCATCTTAAAGGATTTCAGTTGATTGTCACATCTACTAGTCACCAGTCATAGTTCGCATCTGTACAGATTCTGTTTGACTGAGGATCTATAGAGCCTTCTAAAGCATCGATTTCCTAGTGCAATTTGCCGCATCAAGTTTGCATGAAACATGCATGGCATAGTCTCATGTTCCAACGCAACGTGTGAAGTTTCCTGTGCAGACATCAACGGGTTTGTCATTTGGTTTACTTGTAGCACCGATAGCAAGTGGTTCCTTTGATCAAAGCCGTGCTGTATCCTTCTAGCAACAGTACGGCTGTGTCAAGGTCAGCGAGGCCCTCTCCCCATTGGCTGCCACAACAGCAGCAAGCCCCGCCCAGTGAAATTTAACATTGCAAACAAGACAAGAGGAATTGCGAAATCAAATGTTTATTCTTGTCAAGTAAATGAACAAGTTTTCATAAACGATAAAATAATCAACAAGGTAGTCAGGGTTTCAAATAATGTTGTCAAGGTTCTAAGCATTGCACACCCATTATAAAACTTCAAAATCGTATTGTCAAGGCACTATAATTAAGTTCTCAATATAACGTTCAAGTCATTTTCTGCGGGAAACAAACTATTTCACAATGTCAAAATTGTAACTTACATATTGAAAACACAGTTCTAGTCGATCGTATCTGAGATTATTTGTGACGTCATGCAATACTCTACGTCACCATCACTGCTCACAATCAGTGCTACAAGTCAGTTACCACACCCTCGACTCGCCATTGGTCAAGTTACAGCATGGTTTGTCTCTCCGCCTCCCGGACCTTTCGCACGTCAATCAAAGGCCGAGCCAAACCTGGCTGTTACCCGTGAAGCTCCGGGGTAGAAAAAGGTCTTCATCAACCCATGCTTGCCGTAAAAGGTGACTATGCTTGTCGTAAAAGGCGACTAACGGGATCGGATGGTCAGGTTCGTTGACTTGGTTGATGCATGTCATTGTATCGCAATTGCGTGGATCGATGCTCAAGATGTCAATCACTGTATTGTCTGGTCCAGACTCGATTATTTACAGACCGCCGTCCTATAGCTGGGATATTGCTGAGTGCGGCGTAATTGGTATACGATGACATGTATCATCCAAGTCAGCGAGCCTGACCACCCGATCCCGTTAGTCGCCTTTTACGACAAGCATAGTCGCCTTTTACGGCAAGTATGGGTTGCTGAAGACCTTTTCTACCCCAAAATCTTCACGGGTCCTTACGCAATTGGGATAAGATGACATGCATCAACCAAGTCAGCGAGCCTAACCGCCCAATCCCGTTAGTCGCCTCTTACATCAAGCATAGTCGCCTCTTACGGCAATCATGGGTTGCTAAAGACCTATTCTACCCCGGATCTGTACGGGTCATAAGGATAACTGTCCAGTGCAGACTTCACGGTTGAACAAACATATAGCTATTGTAATGACCCGTGAGTATTGGATAGTGAGTGAGTTGGGTTCAACTCCGCTTTTGAACAATATTCCATTTGTATCACGGCGTGTCAGCTTAATGTGGGAGGAAAGCCCGAAGTGATGCAGGTCCTAGGCGTTAACTATTTTGTGAAACTCACGAGCACTTGTATAGAGCTGAAAACCTAGAAACTTAATCGGGACGAACCAGGATTCGAACCCACGATTATAGCTTTCTGGAATTCCCAAGGGACGCACCTCTGCACAGCGAATTGCGGCAGCTTAGACGACTGGGCCACCCATCGCGTCGTAAATGGAGAGAACACTTTAGAAGCTATTGTGTTAAAAATGTTACCGACAGATTCTACTATTGAATACGTGATAACGTGAAGTGACTCTTGATTTTCATAGATATATATCTTTCATTATTTATAGTTTGCCATCCTGCCGGCCCGGGTCCATGCAGGAAGCAAAGGCACTGTAAGTCCCCATGGTCCCTAGTATGGTGATCTCCCTTAAGTTACTGACGATCCCTAGCCCATTTTTATATTGTGTTGTTCACTGATACTTATGGCTTTTATATATTCTCAACTAGTTTTAAATCGAATCTATGATATTCTAGTTATTGTACTGTCCTTCGTTGACAGCTTTTTATTTAGTCTAAATCTATGTATTATTAATGTACTTCTCGTCACGATATGGCTGAAATACTGCCGATGTGACGTTAAATCTTAACTCACTCACTCACTATAGTTTGCCATGACAGACCTGTCAATAAATAAAGTGCATTGGGTATTTGCATTATGGTTGATGTAGACAAAGGTTTTATGGTTTACTGCCCATTGTCAATTTCCCTGGCGTATTGAACATGTTTCTGTTATTGTACAATCGACTCTGCTTTATGCAGAGATTTCTACTGGATATGGAAAGGGTTTTGTCGCTGTATTTACTGAAGATGTTATTTTGTTTCAGACACAGTGCCTGGTTTGCCGAAACTGTTAAATGTTTTCGAAAACCTGTCCGATACCTGTGGTTAACAGTAGACTTGGTTGGATAAATATAGTGGTATTTAGAAGCGGTGGCAGCGTATCTGGAAATGATGATAGGTATGAGCGACATTAAATCCACATCATATTAGGCAACTAAATATATAGTCTCTTCCAATACGTTCTTATCTCCCCCCTGATTTATTATCTCCCCTTGCGAACTCTTTCGAAAACAGAAATAAAACGGCCCTATCACGCGCTAGACGTTCACTTCCGGAAAGGTTTTGGAAAATGAACGAAACGAGAACGAAACAGGCATTATTGCAGAGTCCGCTCAAATTATAGAGGGAAGGGGGTAGATGGACGGGTGGTGACATTGCATAGGTTTCCAGCGGATGAATCACTAAAGACAGCGTGGATTCCACGGCTCTAGTTGGTCAAAAAAGATTACAGACACAACACCACCCAGCGCCAATGTTCGGAACACTTCAAGGATGCTCATTTCAGACGGTGTTTCATGCCATCCATTTTCGGGGGTAAACGTTCAACGCGTATCAGGTAAATACCAAATACTTTTCAAAACGATAATCATTACGATATTGTAAAAACAATCAACCAGAATAAGAGAATAATTTTGGAATTGTTCACATATTTTTAGAAACCTCAAAATGTAGAAAATGTATTATTTCGGAGTATTTTTTACTTGTATAGAGAAAATAAATGATTGCAAGGAACATTAGTTATCTGAAATTAGATCTATACTCACACGCAAAAGAAACGCAATTGGTTTTAAGCAAATAGGTAACAAACACGGAACCATAAATTGATACGAGTTTTAGCATGTTGTGAAGCCTGATGGTGTTATCAATATTTTTGGTTGCATTTTGGAAGCCCCGAACAAAAACGCAACATAAAAAACGAATCGCTAAAACGCACCATTTCAATGAATATGTGGGTATCATGCACCAATTTCTCGCGAAATCGAAAATGAACGAACTGTCACGAACTGTTGTGGGTATAAAACTGTGGCCGATTCTTGGACCTACCACTCCTTGGTCAACAATGCCACGCCTTACTCAAATTCAGAGAAACAAGGCTATCGGACGTTTGGAAGCTGGAGAGTCTGTCCAAGATGTTGCCCGTCATTTCAACGTTAACATAACCACATTTTACCGTCTCCTGCATCGATACAATGCTACACAGACCACAGATGACCTTCCTCGGAGCGGTCGTTCTAGGGTCACCACACCTCGACAAGATCGGCAGGTTACCCGTCAACACCAGCGACATCCGTTCCTAACTGCAAGTGAAAGTGCTCGACAGACCATAGGAACACATAATCGACACATTAGCCGTGACACTGTAATCCGACGTCTCCGTTCCAACAACCTCAGATGTCGCCGACCAGCACGTCGTCCTGTTTTCCAACCACGTCATCGACAAGCACGACTTCAGTGGGCACAGGGTCATCGCAATTGGCGTCATTGTGAGTGGAGGCGTGTCATCCATCTTCTCTGAGGAAAGTCGCTTTTGTGTCTCCCATGCAGACGGAAGAGTCAGCATTTGGCGGCGTCGAGGTGATAGTTTCGCTGACAGAAACGTTGTGGAAAGGGATGCATGGGGTGGACCTAGCGTCATGATATGGGCAGGGATTGGACTTAATGCAAGACTTGGGCCCATGTGCTTTCTGAATGTTGGTCAAGGTCGGGGACACGGCGTCAATGCTCAGCGGTATATCGACCAAGTGATCAGACCTCACGTTGTTCCATTTTTTGCACAACATCAACAACACATTTTCCAGCAGGAAAACGCTCGTCCCCATGTTGCCAGAGCTAACATGGCCTTTCTGCAACAACACAACATCCGTGTTCTACCGTGGCCAGCCCTGATCTGAACCCCATCGAACACTTGTGGGATGAGGTTCAAAGACGTCTGCACAATGTGCGCCCAGTCCCTCCAACTGCCGATGAACTACGCACAGCTGCTCTGGGTGTGGGCAGGGCCTTAGAGCCTTCACAAATCGTCTGATCCACTCAGTGTACAGGAGATGTGTGGCAGTGATCAATGCTAATGGTGGTCACACCAGGTATTGACTGACATTTTGGGCATTGACCCGAAACTGTGTAAGCCCTTAACATTTGAAAAAAACAATTATGTCATCTGCCTTTTAATCCATTAAACTGTCCTCAGTCAATTTTTTGTCAATCTTGCCCTATTAGTATTTCTTGTCTTTACTGTTGAAAATAAATAACATGTATGCTGCATACTCGACTTGCGTTTCTTTTGCGTGTGAGTATATATATATTGAGAGAGATAACCTCAAAGAAGCGCACGTAAAATGAGATCATATTCACACCCTACGCGAGCACACGTACGTCTGTGAAGATCAGGAGTGAGTGAGTGAGTGAGTAAGAATGGTTTTACGCCGCTTTTAGCGGTATTCCAGCAATATCACGGTGGGGGACACCAGAAATGGGCTTCACACATAGTACCCATGTCGGGAATCGAACCTTGGCCCTTCGCGTGACGAGCGAACGCTTTAACCACTAGGCTACCCGACCGCCCCCTGTGAAGATCAGGAATGGCAATGACAACATCTACTACTGCAGTGGAATCCTAAAAACCTACCGTAGCGTCCAAATACACCCTGCAGTGTTCGAATGTGTTTTG